GGTGTTAATAATGATGGTGATGGTGTTAATAATGATGGTGATGGTGATGGTGACAATAATGATGGTGATGGTGGTGATGGTGATGGTGACAATAATGATGATGATGATGATGGTGACAATAATGATGGTGATGGTGGTGGTGATGGTGATGGTGATGGTGACAATAATGGTGATGATGATGATGGTGATGGTGATGGTGACAATAATAATGGTGAGGGTGACAATAATGATGGTGATGGTGTTAATAATGATGGTGATGGTGATGGTGATGGTGACAAAAATGATGGTGATGGTGATGGTGACAATAATGATGATGATGATGATGGTGACAATAATGATGGTGATGGTGGTGGTGATGGTGATGATGATGGTGACAATAATGATGGTGATGGTGGTGATGGTGATGGTGATGGTGATGGTGACAATAATGATGGTGATGGTGTTAATAATGATGGTGATGGTGATGGTGTTAATAATGATGGTGATGGTGTTAATAATGATGGTGATGGTGATGGTGACAATAATGATGGTGATGGTGTTAATAATGATGGTGATGGTGATGGTGACAATAATGATGGTGATGGTGATGGTGACAATAATGATGGTGATGGTGGTGATGGTGACAATGATGATGATGATGGTGATGGTGTTAATAATGATGCAGATGGTGATGATGGTGATGGTGTTAATAATGATGGTGATGGTGTTAATAATGATGGTGATGGTGATGGTGACAATAATGATGGTGATGGTGGTGATGGTGATGGTGACAATAATGATGATGATGATGATGGTGACAATAATGATGGTGATGGTGGTGGTGATGGTGATGGTGATGGTGACAATAATGGTGATGATGATGATGGTGATGGTGATGGTGACAATAATAATGGTGAGGGTGACAATAATGATGGTGATGGTGTTAATAATGATGGTGATGGTGATGGTGATGGTGACAAAAATGATGGTGATGGTGATGGTGACAATAATGATGATGATGATGATGGTGACAATAATGATGGTGATGGTGGTGGTGATGGTGATGATGATGGTGACAATAATGATGGTGATGGTGGTGATGGTGATGGTGATGGTGACAATGATGATGATGATGATGATGATGATGGTGATGGTGACAATAATGATGATGATGGTGATGGTGACAATAATGATGATGATGGTGATGGTGGCAATGATGATGGTGATGGTGGCAATGATGATGATGATGATGGTGATGGTGACAATAATGATGATGATGGTGATGGTGACAATAATGATGATGATGGTGTTGGTGGCAATAATGATGATGATGGTGATGATGACAATAATGATGGTGATGGTGACAATAATGATGGTGATGATGATGCTGGTGATGGTGATGGTGGCAATGATGATGGTGTTGGTGGCAATAATGATGATGATAGTGGTGGCTATGATGATGTTGATGATGGTGATCGTGGCAATGATGATGGTGATGGTGGCAATGATGATGGTGATGGTGGCAATAATGATGGTGATGGTGGCAATAATGATGGTGATGGTGATGGTGACAATTATGATGGTGAGATCAGGTGAGGTGAAGTGAGGTGAAATGGGGTTTGGTGTCGCCTTCAAGATTATTGCTCTTATATTGGGATGTTCATGCATATTTCGAGCCCAAAAATCCTTGATTAAGCCCCTTAATGCTGAATGCTAGGCAGGGTAATAACAAGTACCACCTTTAAGGGTCTTTTGGTATGACGCAGCCGGGAATCAAACCCCCGACCTTCCGCTCTCCAATAGGGTGGTGATGGTGACAATAATGATGAGGATGTCAGTGTGACATTACTTCACATTGGTGGAGGCCTGGGTCAGAATGTGATCCCTGAAAAACCCTCCATGTCTGTTCCTTACAGGTGCTATGGCTCAATCTTTCTTCAGATGGTTACTTGATCCTTTGTTTGTTGTTTAACACCACACTCAGCAATATTCCAGCTATATGACAGTGGTCTTTAAATAATCAATTCTGGACCAAGCAATGCAGTGATTGACATCATGAGCATCGATATACACAATTGGTATACAATGGCATGCATCAACCAAGTCACAATCTTGATCAACCACTCCCGTAAGTCGCCTCTTGGGACAAGCATGGGCTGCTGAAGACCCGGATCTTCATGCGTTTGCTTCATCCTTTTATGATATCAATATGATGGAGATAGTCTTGACTGGATTGGTGGTGCTGATATTGCAGATGGCGACATTGGAAATGATACAAGGATGAAAGAAATGATGATGATGATGATGATGATGAGGAGGAGGAGGAGGAGGAGGAGGAGGAGGAGGAGTAGGAGGAGGGGGGGAGGATATTGTTATTGTAAAGGTATTGTTGTTGGGGATGATATTGAATGCATGAGTGAGTTAGGTTTGAAGCTGCTTTGAACAGTATTATATGATAATATTATTCATAATAGTGATGATATTAATAATGGTCATGTCTCCTTTGGCAAGTGAATTTGTTTGAAATATGCCTCTGTGTACCTAGCAGTGAATGGGTACCTGGTTGGATGAGATGGCAATGTGACTGTCAACCTTCTAGCAGCTTCTAACCTTCAAGACAGCTTGTGTTGTACATTCCCCAGGGAGTTGAGAATGTAAATTGAGTGCACACTGATCTATTGACCAGGGTAATAATGTAGTGCTTTGAGCATGCTTTAGGGTGTGGAATGGTGTATTATAAATATGCACATGAATATTATTATGATGGTGATGATATGATGATGGTGAAGATAATGATGATATTAATGATGGTTGTGATATCATTGATGGTGATGATATAAATAATGGTGATGGTATTAACGATGATGATGATGATGATGATGATGATGATGATGATGATGATGGTGAAGATGGTGATGGTGATGATGATGATGAAGATGATGATGGTGAAGATGGTGATGGTGAAGATGGTGATGATATTAATGATGGTTGTGATATCATTGATGGTGAATATATAAGGAATGGTGATGGTATTAATGATGATGATGATGATGATGATGATGATGATGATCTCAGTCTTTTGGCACTTTGGCAAAACCCATGATATGGTACTAACAAACTAAGAAACCAGGGCAAATTTGGGATTCAAAACCAGGATCATGGGTGTCTGGCACACCTAAGGGATGCAACTCTGTACAAAAATTGAGGTTGGGGTGGATATTGATGTTTATTGCCGGTATTATTTTTAATGCAAATGTGAGATGTGTGTTTGTTTCTGTATGGATTCACAATATAACTCACATAATAACTCACCGATTGCTTTTGACCTCATTATTGTTATCATATTGAGGCTGATTATAATGAGATGGTATTGGTGATAAGAGTCATGCTGATCACAGTGATGATACTGTATTTCTGTTACTGAAAAGTTTGATAATGATGTAACTGAATGTCCTGATGATGAACCCATGCTTGCCGTAAAAGGTGCCTATGCTTGTTGTAAAAGGCGTCTATGCTTGTCGTAAAAGGCGACTAACAGAATCAGGTGGTCAGGCTAGCTGACTTGGTTGATGCATGTCATAGATCCCAATTGCGTGGATCGATGCTCATGATGTCAATCACTGGATTGTCTAGTCCAGACTCGATTATTTACAGACCGCCATCATATAGCTGGAATATTGCTGAGTGTGGCTTTAAACAATAAACAAACAAACAAACTTGATGATGATATTTATAATGATATTCTTAATCTTAATATTGATGGAAGACCGCCTCTGTGGTCTAATGGTAGAGCGTCCGCCCGGAGAGCTGAAGGTCGGGGGGTTCGATCCCCGACCGCGTCATACCAAAAGACATTAAAAGATGGTACTTGTTGTTACCCTGTCTGGCGCTCGGCATTAAGGGGCTCAAACAAGGACTGGTCGCCTGGGAGTCAGTATACTGTATCTGAGTGGGGTATTCATGTTAAACTGCGGCATGGTATCTCAGTGTGCTAGCACTATAAATCGGCATCAGTCCGGACTAGTACAAGCAGCCACACACACACACACACACACACACATACACATGCATGCACGTCGCTATATAAGTGCAATAATCTTGGACGCAACATTAAACCCTATTTCACCTCACCTAATATTGATGGTTACTAGTATGTTAATGTTCATAATATTTGTGATGGTATGAATATCAATTATATTGATGATGATGTTGTAACTTGTGATAATGATGACAATAGTGTCGATGAAGATAATAACAATAATATTGGTCACAACATATTGGGAATGACACAGTTTCTGGCCATATTGGTGATGATCGTAAGGATTTTAACAATAATACTGATGAGATGATGAGTTGATAAATTTTATCAGGAAGAACATAATTATACTCCAGTTATAATCCTAATGATTTTCCTGTTTTGAAAGGCTTTGTTATTTCTTTATGTAAATCACAAAATAATACATTTACATTCAAACATCAATCCTATTCCCTTTTATATTAAACATGATACCAAATCATAACACCATGGACTGAACCGGAATACCCTGGTAAATAGAGCTAGACACAATCTATTTCAAGCGTAAATGTAACCGGTTCAACAGTGATAATTTATATTTATATTATTCCAAAAAGAATTATTTTCCGGACATATTTTTTGCCTTTCAACTACCTGTAAAGAAGCTAAAGGGTTAATCTGTATAAGCTAGGGATTGCATCCTGACTTGACACAATAATACGATTGAATTATTATCAATGAGCAATTAACATTTTTTTTAACATGTCACTTTCCAATGATCCTTCTCAATATTCCACTCATTTGACTCTCAATGAAGAAAGGGAGTAGAAAGTGCCAAGTTAGATTTTTTAAAAGCTATCTTCCTGGGACGACGCAGAAAGTGATACCCTCAACCAGTGTGAGCTATTTGCACTATTGCTGGTACGTTCTACCAGCGACGCAGCCACGACAGGGATACATTCTTCGTGATTATTTCACGTTGTATTCCTGGGTGAGGGAGATTTGTGATTCTAGGATTTTCTAGCATGGAGGAGGATGTTGCTGCTAATTGAGGATGTAGTGTTCATTGTTGGTGTCGTCATTGTGTGGATGCTGAGAGGATCATTTTCCCAATAGTGATCGTGTGCTTTATTTCAGCTGGGTGGTAGTCACGGCTCCTCAGACGACATGTCGTGCACAATGTGATGGTGTTGGATTATTAGACAAAGATAGGATAAACTAGCACTACACTGATCAGTTAGAGAAGACTGTTATGTAACAGTTGTGATGCACTGTAAGTAATCAGAGAAAAAATAAACAGAATGTCACTGCTATGTAGGATTGTGTGTTATGATCATACACTTGTTGATATATGCGCACTGGGTATAGCCAGTGGTTGATAGAGTAATCTGTATATGATTTCAAACATTTCTATAACCAAGTGAAAAATTGTAAAAATTTGTTAATTTGTAAGCTAATTGGTAATTAAATATTAATACTATATTTCATCATCGATTTTAAGACCATTCTTCAATGGGTGTGTATGCAGTAGTTAAAAATGATGATGAAGTGAAAAAAAGTATGAAAACCCTTACTTTAAATTTTGATTTTGCTGTGTGAGATTTTACTTGATTAATAATATGTGATATTGTAAATTAATTTACGGTGGTGTTTGTTTCATTTATAATATCAGTTCAATGTATTTAATTCAGCACTGAATAATATCTGTAATAATAACTGAGGCAAGATATGTACGTATTGTCGCAAAATTGTCTTGGATTAATTACCAGGTAACTACAATATGAAACACAAAACAACTTTAAGATTAAATGAATGCCTAAATTTATATTTTGACCATTTTTCCAGGATTAATTTGATAATGATGAAAAATCATGTTTATTGTTTTAGCATTAGATGAATTGAAATGCATTTGATCACTCAATTATTATACAGGACAATGTACATAAGGTATGGTGTTTGAGTTCCAAACAGATTTATTGTTTTCCAGAAAATTCATACAATTGTACACATTGTTGATAGTTTAGATTTTCGTAATGAGTCTTTTCGCATTCATTGATCAACTACAGGGGGTAATTGATGTGCGGGTTTCGTTTAAGTATATTGGACAATTTATTAATTTATTGATTTGAAAAATAGAGCAGTTATATTCACTCTCATGTAATAGTGATGGATGACTTGCTGTACAAAAACTTGACTTGCATAATTCAGAGCTGGCCTTTTGATATTTTGTAAATCAGGGACAGGGAGCGTTTTTTATGTGTCTGGATCTATATGAAAATGTTGGTCTATTTTGAGAATATGGTGTACACAAAATTTCCCTAACGATGATACTTAGTGGATATTTTAAATAAACATATAGCTGGCTTTATTTTCTGCATCATTGTTCACATTTCAAGTTCCAATGTCTAATGCGCTTTAATGTTGTTTGAAGTAGTTTAAAAAAATGAAATGATTGATATTTGTTTGACAAATTCATTTTATTTTTCAACAATATTTTGAGCCCACTGCTTGCACCTTCATCAGGTAAATGAGTAAATCTATTGTTGATGCAGTGTTTTAATATTATTTTATATATGATATAATTTTAGTACATCTGTCACACTTTGGGACTGTGCGTGCATGTGGGTATGGGTGTAGGTGAGGGTGGGCTGTGTGTGTGTGTGTGTGTGTGCGCATGTGCTTGTGTGTCTGTGTCTGAGGATGGGTGGTTTTGACTGACTGGTAAGTAAATTGAAGGAATAGGGATTGTGTTTTGTGTGGGTATTTGGCAGAGGGGGGGGGGGGGGGGCAGGGGGATTGTTGTCTGGTGTGTGTATTGAAGGGTGTTGGTGTAGACTGGTGTGTGCATTATGATGTCTATCATGTGCTGTCAGTTTGAGAGGAAGGGTGCAGAGTTGCCTTGTATGAGTCTTGAAATATGGAGAGAGGGGAGCAGTGTCTTGCCAAATTCTATTTGTCACCTAAATGAGTATTGATTTAGATAAGTAATGAGTTACATGTCATACACATGCACAGGGTGGGATCAATAAAAGGATTTTTACATATCAGACAGGGATCAGCAAGGTCAGTGACGGCAATCAAAGAAGTTGCATTGTCAGTTTTCTGTCATTCACCTGATGAAGGCAAAATGGTAGTACTCAGAAGATTGATATTTGAAAAGTGAATTGTCATCCACGAAGTTTCATGTCTTCAATATATTTTATGATTGTATTATTAAATACAATAACTTTTTAACACTGGAAAAACAATCTATAAACACCCAAACAGCTTAAGTCTATTACAGGGCGGCCATGTTTCCTGCTTAGTTTAGTATGGATGAAAATAGAAGTAATATGAATATAACACATTATGCCTCAAGCCAACTAGTATGTTTTGTGTGTGCACTAAGATGATATTATTGTTAAATTATCATTTTATCAAACCTTCAGGTACTATAGAATTGTATTTTAAACTGAGATATCTGGGAAAACATAAAGGACTCCTACAAGCACTTTTTAAAAACATCAAACCAAAATACTTCAGTTGGAATACAGGTGTGGTATATGAGCTTGTGAAACTTCCAGTAATGGATGTCTGGGAACCGTCTGGCTGTTCCACTATTCCCAAATTTAAACTTGATCTCAAGTGCTGTACAGAGTCGTGTGAGAGTTTCAATCAAATTCAATTTGGGAAACACGTGTTGGAAAACGTTTCTCATTGATATCACTGATAAAGTTTTCTAAAAAAACAGGAACAACAAAGTCTCGAGGGTTTCGTCTGAATTCATTTGTCACATGAAGATGTTTTGGGGCCTATTTCAGTGATATGGGATTGGGGGTAAATATTGATGAACCATTTAAGAATCGAACATAGACTCTGACGTCTCCTAGCCAGATGGTGCTGGCAGCTTGCAAACACGAGTTGTGTTTCTTCCATGTAACTTAATCATTAAGGGACCTGACTGTTATAATCTATATCTATTGTGGCTAAGTCTTGATTATGTAGAATCGGTGATATTTGTTTTCGAGGTTGGGCTCTTATTACAAAACTATTTGTGGAATCTGACCAAAATTCTGTTAACGATTTCAAATAAAAAATACTAACCATTATATTTTTTTGCCAGCTATCAAAAAGTGGAATGTATGTTAATGTTTAATATAGATGCTTCGTATTATATTGATTAATTTAGTGTTCAGTTTATACGCAACATAACTTATTGATATATGTTGGAGAGCAGCACTGTGAATGAATGAAATGACAGTTCAACTGAGTCAAAGATTATGCCAATGCAACGCTGACATATAAATATATCAATTGAAGCAAAATCAGACTTTCATAATTGGAGAATAGAAATAAATCATGAGGTGATTTGATACATGAATCATATGAAGATATATCTTAAAATTAGTTATTTTCCTTGACACAATTTGAAGAAAATGATCACATAAATACAGGATTTCACACTAACAATGCAAAATGTTTTCATTTTATTAAAGAATGTATTTTTTGCAAGAATGATTAAAAGTAGTTACTACAAGCACAATGTTAATGTTATGCAAATCATAAGACATGTTGCCACACTGAACATGATTGTTCTCTGTTCTTGTATGAAGTAAGGAAGCAGCATTATTAAATGATATCTTATTTTGAAATGAATTATGTTTGTCTTAAGGCTTATAATTTGAGTTCAAACCCAATTTTGTTAATGAGATGAACATACTCTCAATTGATTCTGGTGTACATGATGAAGTAACTTTGACATTTTATAGTTTATTCAATTCATTTTATATCAAGTGGGATTTTTTTCAAGATAACATTTGGCCTGTAAGTTCGTTTGAATGCATTTCGTTCGTGTTTGTTTCAAAAATGATTTACCAAACTATGAAGCTATTTTTTCAACTGAGGACGTATGTTACTTGAAGTTGTCTAGCACAGTTGAAATATAAATATGAGCAATTTAACAGTAAGTAAATGTGCCTCTTTTAACCATAGTGATATGAGTAGGTAAGGAGAGTGTTAAATTTAAGGAAGACATTTCAATTTCTTTTATCTGAATTGAGATTTCTTTAAGGATAATATTAAACAGGAAGGTTCTTTTGACATTATGGATTGTTTCAGTTTGATTTCACTTACCATGAAATTGAACAAATTGAAACCCAAGCGATTGACAAAAATCAAGAGTAACTTCACAAAATGTAGAAAAGATGGAAGACCTAAACAATATTTTAAACAATAATTTTATCAGATTGATATAAAAGTAGAAAAGAGATCACCCATTTTCACGATCATGTTAATATTTACAAATTACATCTACTGATTAAATGGTGAATAGTTGAATATATTCCGTTGTCATTAGATTTTGAATTATTTAATGCCATTAATATCTTTTTAATTCTGAAAACAAATTCTAAATAATTTCATCGTTAGCATGAGTAGAATCACGAAGTTGGTATTTTGTAAGATTAAATAAATAAAAAGTAAAATAAAACGCCAATGCGCTTTGCCATTAGCCTCATTTATCATGTAATATTGCCATTATAAAGATCTGTCATGACATTTGAAATATTGTAATATCTTAAAAGGAGTTTTGAATTGTGCAATAAATCAGAATGACATATCATTAAATAATTAATGTGAATTAGTTCCAGTAATATGATATAATTGGTTCAATTTATAATCTGTAGGTATCTTTTCTTTCTTAACCTATGAGTATAATTTATTTATTATCCCTGTCTACACGAAATTACTTTATGTTATTGCTTTTCTAATAACACAAAATAATCTTTTCATTATCTAATACGTTTTACTTACATATGATACAACTGATAATGTCTCATTCTTTAAGAGGTCTTACTGAGGGTTAATCTTCTGAATAAATAGAAAATGTCCTGAATCAATGTCTTGAAAAGATGCAAAATACAAATAGATGAACACAGCATAATTCCTGAACATATGTGTACACTAAAAAATCTTTAGTCTTTCTATGAACTGTACATTGAGCTGAATTAAAGTGTACTGATAATATAAGAAATTCCATTGGAAAGTGTACTAAATATTTTTCCAAGTAGATGATTTTGTAATACAATTTCTTTGGTGTGCATGTCTAGAGGGCGTCTTATTTGGGCTGCAGTAGTACAGAGACGTCGCTCCCAAGATTGAGGATACAGGACAATTCATGCCTTAACTCCAGGGGCACAGAAATACTGGTATATAGAACTCTGGAACTTATTTTGGGAAGCATTAAATTTAATTGAAGAAGATAGTCTGATTTCTGGTGGACACAGGAGCAGAGATCTGTAGACTTCAGATTTTTGTGGTGAGGCAGAGAAACAATCTAATATTGTAGATGTGGGAATTGCTGCTCGCTTATACCACGCAGGCAGACAGACTCAATTTGACCTGATACATCAATATTACTCAGGCCGACACAGCAAACTATTTGTGACATGGGCAAAGTTTGCCAAAGTCACATGTAAATGGGCAATGACTATACCAAGATTGTATGATATTGAGAGGTGGAAGAACCACATCACTGAAAATAAGATTGTGTTGGAAGAAAATGGCAGGTTATAAGAAGGTACCGACAGACAAATGGAAGGAACCAGAAGACCCTGCTGGAAAGTTGGACATTGAGGTAAGGGATCACTGGGTATATAGTTAACCCTTTATCTTACCCACCTCAGGTGAGTTAACCTGTGGGCTTGCATGCCGCAAAGTTATTCCCTGAAAGTGGATATAACAATATAAATGATTTCTCTTGAATCAGGGTTAACCTGGGTTCTTGTATCACACTGTGTCAACCTGTTGGGTTTTATATTATGTGTTCACCTGTATGTCTACAGAGATAGCTGATGGCTGATGGCTTATATCATACTGTGTTAACCTGAGAGCTTATATCACATAGTGTATCACACAGTTGTAGCCTAAAGGTTATATGACACAGTGTTAACCTGTGGGTATATATCACACAACTGAAAGTGTTAACCTGAAGAAGTTGCATTACATAGTGTTAATCTGAAGGCTTGCATCACATAATTTTCACCTATGGTTTTTTTTTGAAACAGTGCTAACCTGAAGGGGTTATTTTGTGTACTAATGCACTCAGTGTATCACAGAGTTTAACAAAGTGTTATCCTGATGGCCTGTATTACACAGTGTTAACTTGAGGCTTTTATCACACAGTGTTATCCTGAGGACTTGTATAACACAGTGTTGTTATGAAGGCTTGCTTCACACTGTTATCCTGATGGCTTGCCTCACACAGTGTTATCATGAAGGCTTGCATCACACAGTGTTAATGGATTGTATCAGACATTGTTATCCTGAGGACTTGTATCACACAGTGTTAATCAGATTGCTTTTATCAACCAGTGTTATCCTGATGGCTTGTATAACACAGTGTTATCCTGATGGCTTGTATAACATAGTGTTATTCTGATGGCTTGTATAACACAGTGTTATCCTGATGGCCTGTATTACACAGTGTTAACCAGATGGCTTTTATCAACCAGTGTTATCCTGATGGCTTGTATAACACTGTGTTATCCTGATGGCTTGTATAACATAGTGTTATCCTGATGGCTTGTATAACACAGTTTTATCCTGATAGCCTGTATTACACAGTGTTAACCAGATGGCTTGTATAACACAGTGTTATCCTGAGGACTTGTATCACACAGTGTTATTCTGATTGCTTGTATAACACAGTATCAATGTACGTCTTGTATCACATAGTGTTATCATGAGGCTTGTATTACACAGTGTTAACTTGAGGCTTGTATCACACAGTGTTATCCTGATGGCTTGTACCACACAGTGTTATCCCGGTGTTTTGTACCACACAGTGTTATTCTGATGGGTTGTACCATACAGTGTGTTTCTGATGGGTTGTACCACACAGTGTTATTCTGATGGGTTGTACCACACAGTGTTATTCTGATGGGTTGTACCATACAGTGTTATTCTGATGGCTTGTACCACAGTGTTATGCTGATGGGTTGTACCACACAGTACTATCCCAATGGCTTGTATTACACAGTGTTATCCTGATGGCTTGTACCACACAGTGTTATCCTGGTGGCTTGTACCACACAGTGTTATGCTGATTGGTTGTACCACACAGTGTTATTCTGATGGATTGAACCATACAGTATTATCCTGGTGGCATGTACCACACAGTGTTATCCTGATGGGTTGTATTACACAGTGTTATCCTGATGGCTTGTACCATACAGTGTTATCCTGGTGGCATGTACCACACAGTGTTATCCTGATGGGTTGTACCACACAGTGTTATCCTGATGGGTTGTACCATACAGTGTTATCCTGGTGGCATGTACCACACAGTGTTATTCTGATGGGTTGTACCACACTGTTATCCTGATGGGTTGTACCATACAGTGTTATCCTGGTGGCATGTACCACACAGTGTTATTCTGATGGGTTGTACCATACAGTGTTATCCTGATGGGTTGTACCACACAGTGTTATCCTGATGGGTTGTACCACACAGTACTATCCCAATGGCTTGTATTACACAGTGTTATCCTGATGGCTTGTACCATACAGTGTTATCCTGGTGGCATGTACCACACAGTGTTATCCTGATGGGTTGTACCACACAGTGTTATCCTGATGGGTTGTACCATACAGTGTTATCCTGGTGGCATGTACCACACAGTGTTATTCTGATGGGTTGTACCACACTGTTATCCTGATGGGTTGTACCATACAGTGTTATCCTGGTGGCATGTACCACACAGTGTTATTCTGATGGGTTGTACCATACAGTGTTATGCTGATGGGTTGTACCACACAGTGTTATCCTGATGGGTTGTACCACACAGTGTTATTCTGATGGGTTGTACCACACAGTGTTATCCTGATGGGTTGTACCACACAGTGTTATTCAGATGGGTTGTACCACACAGTGTTATTCTGATGGGTTGTACCACACAGTGTTATCCTGCTGGCTTGTACCACACAGTGTTATCCTGCTGGCTTGTACCACACAGTGTTATTCTGATGGGTTGTACCACACAGTGTTATCCTGCTGGCTTGTACCACACAGTGTTATTTTGATGGCTTGTACCACACAGTGTTATTTTGATGGCTTGTACCACACAGTGTTATCCTGGTGGCATGTACCACGCAGTGTTATCCTGATGGCATGTACCACACAGTGTTATCCTGGTGGCATGTACCACACAGTGTTATCCTGATGGCTTGTATTACACAGTGTTATCCTGATGGCTTGTATTACACAGTGTTATCCTGATGGCTTGTATGACACAGGGTTAATCAGGGGCTGCATTCTACTAAGTCTAATATTAGTTCTATAATTAATTCCTTTTTAAAGATGAAATGACAGGTAACGTTTGATTTTTGTGTATTTGGAATGTCCCATGGACAGTCATATTTCAGGTGATGCAAAAATTATTGACGGAGCTCTTATTCCTGCCTGGAATTAAGTACTTTTCAAACTTTCAAAGAATTGAAGAAGAAATAGTTTTGAAAGAATATGAACCTATCACAATGTGGATGTGAATAAGTTACATTCGATCAATTTCTTTCCACATTTAAATGCCTACAGATGTGCACATTCAAAATGCCTTATAGTGTTGGCTAGTTGTGTTTAAAATATACATGCCTGTCAGGCTATTGACATATTGGAGATTTTAAATGCTGCCACGTGTTGAAAGTAAATGGTGAAAGCTGCCAGTGACTAGCAGGTGTTACTTGACAAATGACTCAACCTTGTATGTTGTCTGACACAGTCCATAGCAGGTTGGTCCACAGCCAGGTGGCACATGCCTACTCAACCTCGTACATCCCCTGACATAGTCCCATAGCTTGGTGGCACATTCCTACTCAAGCTCGTACATCCCCTGACAGTCCACAGCTGCGTGGCACAAGCCTACTCAACCTCTTACATCCCCTGGCACCGTCCATAGCCAGGTGGCACATGCCTACTCAACTTCGTACATCCCCTGACACAGTCCATAGCTTGGTGGCACATTCCTACTCAACCTCATACATCCCCTGACACACTCCATAGCTGCGTGGCACAATCCTACTCAACTTCGTACATCCCCTGACATAGTCCATAGCTTGGTGGCACATTCCAACTCAACCTTGTACATCCCCTGACACCGTCCATAGCTTGGTGGCACAATCCTACTCAACCTCGTACATCCCCTGACACACTCAATAGCTGCGTGGCACAAGCCTACTCAACCTCGCACATCCCCTGACACAGTCCATAGCCAGGTGGCACAAGCCTACTCAACTTCGTACATCCCCTGACACACTCAATAGCTGCGTGGCACAATCCTACTCAACCTCGTACATCCCCTGACACAGTCCATAGCCAGGTGGCACAATCCTACTCAACCTCGTACATCCCCTGACAGTCCATAGCCAGGTGGCACAATCCTACTCAACCTCGTACATCCCCTGACAGTCCACAGCCAGGTGGCACAAGCCTACTCAACCTCGTACATCCCCTGACACAGTCCATAGCTGGTTGGCAGAATCCTACTCAACTTCGTACATCCCCTGACACAGTCCATAGCTGGTTGGCACAAGCCTACTCAACCTCGTACATCCCTTGACACCGTCCACAGCTGGGTGGCACATGCCTACTCAACCTCGTACATCCCTTGACACCGTCCACAGCTGGGTGGCACATGCCTACTCAACCTCGTACATCCCCTGACACCGTCCATAGCTGGTTGGCAGAATCCTACTCAACTTCGTACATCCCCTGACACAGTCCATAGCCAGGTGGCACAAGCCTACTCAACTTCGTACATCCCCTAACTGTACATCAAGTGAGTATAACATCCAGAGCCAACATCAAAGAACTCCTTACAAAAACAAAAGAGTATGTATGAGAATGAAATAGGTGTTCCTTACAAAGTCATCCTTATATTTCGGGGACACGCGTGGCTCAGTCATCTAAGGCGTCGTGATTCCCTCTGCAGAGTTGCATCCCTTTGAAACCTACGATTGTGGGTTCAAATCCCGGTTCGCCCCAATTATGTTTCTAGGTTTGTCAGCACCATACCTGCGCTGGTGGGTTTCACCGAAGTGGTAAACGTCTGAGACCTGCATCACTTCAGGCTTTCTCCAACATTAAGCTGACACACCATGATGTAACTGGAATACTGTTTAAAGTGGTGTTAAACCCAACTCACTCACTCACACACTATATAACCTGGACAAGTCCGTGCTCACACTAAAATGTTTGAAACAGGAGATGGGGTAGCTCTTAGAATAATAAACTTAAAGAATGTTTATGCACTGACTGTTAGTGAATTTGATTCATATGAAGCATATGTGTTTGGTAGGACAATATACATACTACTCAAAACAAGTTAAAGAACATTCACAATTGGAAGGTTGTGTAATGCAATACCCACCTAAGCCATGACAGGTTAACTTTAGTAAGATGAAAAAAACTGGGTGTTCTTGTACTTGTCTTGACTTGTATTTGTCGTGTATTTTATCATGTCAGAACGAAATAAATATAAATATTGATTATTTTGTCTGTAGATAGTAGGAACATTAAATGAAGAGACTGGGACATTTGGTTGTGATCGAGACTGCCAAACCATGCTGGAATTCCTGGAC